GCACACAGAGGGCGGACGCACACCGCGCGGGGCAACATGACGACGAGCATGGGGCTGGGGCGACTCACCAGGCGGCTGCTGCTCGCTGCTCGGACTAGCTGGCGACTCGAGGTCCTGGCTGAGCAGGTCCTCGAAGGAGGCGATGGGCGCGGGCCCCATCCGTGGCGTGCGGGGCGTGCGGGCCGAGCGCGGGGGCGCCTCCTCTCCGCCTGCACGGCGGGCCGCCAAGCTGAGGGGCCTGGGACGCGTCGCGCCGCCGGCCGCCGCCGTCCTCTCCTGCTGGATCTCCTGCTCCATGGTGCTGCCGCATGGTCAGCCCCCGCGCCGCCGCCGAGCCGCCCCCCGCCGCCCCCGGCGCCGCCCCGGGGCCCCCGACAGCGCCAGGTCTAGCGCCAGGTCAGCGCCGCGCCCAGCCTCTGGGCGGCCGCCCCGCCAGCCGCATCCCTGTCGACAACAAGAAGGGTTAAGATCGCAGCAACAGCAGACGGGCTGAAAGAAAAGAAAGAGGGCAAAAACAAAAACAAAAGAATGTTAGTGGCCATAGCGCCCATTCCAGGTCGGGGAAAGCCAGACGTGATCTCCATTTGCAATCGCAATATCGATTCTCCATTAACCGTGTCTTCGTGACACCAAGGCGAGCCATTGCCCCACCCTCTCCCCTTTGCCGCCACCGCCCTACCACCACCCATTTACAAGCCCAACCTCAAGCCGACCACTTAGGAATCAACTTCCGCACCGCACTGACTCAGCAAGCTGAGCGCTCGGCGCGGCGCCGCCCAGGCCGGGGTCGGCGTCGGCTTGCACCCGCACCCCACAATCAAGGCGTGCTCGGGGCTGACCAGCGAGCTTCAGCAGACCTCGAGCGCGGCTCACTGCAAGCGAGGCGTTGCTGGCGACTCGCGGGTGTTCGAGTGGGAGAGAATTGAGGGGCAGCAAGCAGGTGCAGGTAAATGTAATAATAGGCCGAGACGAAAACCTGAAGATCAGCACCGGCACCACGCCCATCGCTCTTGTGAAAACCTGAACTCTGATTGGTCAACGCTGACGTCACGCAACCTCAAATGATATATACTCCACCAGCTACGAAAATTAAATACGAAATGCAGGGTAGACAACCACCATCGGCGGGCTCGCCTCGCTTACAAGTTTAGTTTTGGCCGGCTGCTGCTACGCGTGCGGTTGCGCCGCGAGGCTCACCGAAAGGGAGGGAGTTCCGTGGTTGTCACGCCACGCCGCGGCCGCGGCCCGCCCCGTGTCGCGTGCACGTGCTGCGTGCGGTGTACGTGGCGTGCACGTGACGGAGGGACGGGACGCCGCGCGCCCCCTTGCCCCCTAGATCCCCTTTCCTCTTTTCCAACCCCTTTGGCATGGAGCGGTAAATTAACCAGGGGCGAAGGCTTTTCCGGTCTCTCCGCGTCGCGAAGGAAGAGGGAGGACGGGCCACGCAGCCGCGGGGCCGGCGGGGTTGCGAAGCGGAGAGCGAGTGCAACATTCGACGAAATTCTCCCTCCCCGCCCCGTCACCCTACGCTTTCTTCTCTGTGACCTCCCCCCGACTCGCTCCCTCATCCCCTCTCGCGTTCCTTTTAATCTAGACAGCAGCATGGATGACCGGTGGACAGCCGCGAGCCGTGAGCCTCTCCGATCGGCGATGACCTCCTTTCCATCTGCCGTATTGTGATCCCCTCCTGGAATGCCGTGACCGGACTACTGTGCTGGCCCAGCCGGCCGCGCCGGCCTCGCTGTGTGCCGCGGGTATGTGGCGGGGCTTGGCGGGGCGCGGCGTGGTGGGGCGTGGCGGGGCTTGGCGGGGCGGGGCGGGGCCGACCGCGCTGGATGCTCGAGGCCTCTGGTCTGGCGCGGGCTGGCCTACACCACTCGCGCTCGATACCCAACCCTGCTGTAATGCCCGAAGCTCGACGCGCGCCTGTGTACGCCCGGCCCCGCCACGGTGGCGGCCGCTAAAACCATCAGCACACCACCACCACCACCACCACCACTACTGCTACCCCTAGCACCAGCTAGCGCTAGCGCTTCGGGCCCCGACACCCCTACACCGGCGGCCCTTCGCCACGCCCCACCACGCCCCGCACTGTCGTTATGCAATGAGGCCGGTTCGCATCCCGAGTTACATAACGTCCAGTCGTTCTGACGCACAAGGCGTGTCCTGCGCCAGCCCTGGCCTCTGCCCTTGCCCCGCCCCGCCCCGCCCCGCCCTGTGCCGCCTCGGTCACGCCCGCTGCCCTGGAGGACGGCGACATGAAAATTCCACGATCCCGACACATGATTCATGAACTCGAATGGGTGAGAGGCGAGCGGCAGCGGCCCTCGCTACACAATGTGGAGGGGAACAGTGAAGAGCCCACGCCGAGCAGATGGGACCGTGTCGCGGGCTGCTCCAGCAGACGAACGACACACCCCTTGCACAATCGAACCAGCCACATCCCCCCTCCCCTAACGCAGTCGCAGTCCAGTCAGCCCATGTTTGGCAGTGCACTCGGGGCCCAGAGTCGAGAGGTATGCACAGCCCCCCCTAACCGGGTGAAGCCTCCCCGGCGTGCGATGCAGTGGCAGCGGAGGAAATGGAAAGGAAGGAAGAGGATGGAGTGCCAGCGATGGCTGAATGGATGGAGGGCGAGGGGGGGCCGCGGCGAGACGAGTATGAGGGCGCTGGACGGCGGCGGTGGGGGAGGCGGCGGCGCGGGGCGGGGAGGGGCGGAGGAGGTGGATTGGCGGATCAATGAAGAGGTCATTGGCAAGGAGTATCGCGCGCCCTGCTGGCTGCGGCGGCGTCCCCGGCCGGCCGGGCCCCGGGCTGCTTGTGACCAGGAGGAAGGGCGCGTCACGCCAGCCTCGAGTACCGCCGAGCAGCTCGCCGAGCACAGCAGGCACCTGTTGTTGGCCGACATACTCGTGCCTACCGCGGCGACGAACCGATCAACGGCGGGCTCCCCAGACGAGGCGCCGCCGACGTCGGCGTTGATTATATCGGCGTTGCTGCCGGGATCCGGTCACCCCCCCCTCCTTTCTGGGTGTCCCCCCCGGGATTGATTAGCTCTGGGGACGACGTCGACGACGCGCAGCCACCGCGCCTCGGCGCCACAATAACCACGCCGCCGACGTCGCGAAAGGTCACAGCGGCGGGGGGGACATCCCAATCTCCTTGAGGGGAGTTTGACCCGCGGGCTGACCTCGCCACGCAACGCCACGCCCTCCGCATCCCCCAACCCCCGTGTCACCTCCCTGGGTCTGTCCCACCGCCCCCCTGGCTGAGCCTGTCACGCGTGATGGGGACACAAAACGCAGACATGTCCGTCCCGTCCTCGGGGGGAGCCTTCTTGTGGTCCTGTTTGCTTTGGCCGCACTGCACTGCAGGGAGGAAGGAAGGCCCGCCCCAGCCTGCCCTGCCCCGCATCGCCTCGCCCACCCCAGCCCGCACCCCTCCTCCTGCCCCGCCCCTGCTCCCCGTCCATGCCCCTTCTATCACGTCGACGCGTCCCTTTCAATCTCACGTCTGTCTTTCCCCCCGACGGCTGGCTGTGCCGCAGGACGGAGGGCGAGGACGACGACGACGACGAGAAGCAGAGGAGGGTGGCCATACGGAGTATGGCGAGGGAAGAAGAAGAAGCCAAGGGACGCGCGTAAATGAAGAGGGGGATGAAAAGGTATGAGGAGCGGAGAGCGATAAGAGGGAGAGATAAGGGAGGGAAAGGAGGAAAATGGATTAAGCGGCGACGGGAAAAAGGAGGGGTCGGGAAATAAGATACGAGGATAAAGGCACGAGGCGGGAGCATATACGAGGCGGCTCGTGGCGGAGCCGAGGCGGGGCGCACGACCGCAACCCGGCGGCCCTCGAGGAGGCTGAAGTCGACGGCCGCGGCTGTGCGCGTCTTCGAGGGACGTCGTCGTCTAGCCCGTAGAGGGCGCTCTGGTGCAGAACCCTTAGGAATGTGCTCCGGGAGGGGGCGGCCGCGGCGGGGGAGGGTGAAGAGCAGTGCGTGCAGAGGGGAAGGGGAAGGGAGGGCACAGGGGAGGATGCCCCGCGCTGGCGCCACGGTCGGACTAGACCTCGCCGCATCGCAGACAACACTGCAATAAAAGTGCCGGCTTTAAAAAAAGCAGGCGCGTCGGCCGGCGCTTCGCCTGCGACACAAAAGGACGGGTAAGTTACTGTATCCGTCCTTTGTGGCCTGCGCTCCTGCTCGCTCTGTGGGCGAAGCGGTCCCCAGGCTGTCCGCGGAGTCTTGGGGTGGAAGTGGAATATTGAGGAGGTTTGGTGCTTCAAATAAAAGAGGACAAGTCCAAACGATGCTGTACAAAATTTAGGTCCGATCGCGTGGCGGTGTCTCGCGCTGGCCTAGGCAGGCCGCTGTTCGCTTCGGACCGTGGGGACCGCCTCGCAGTGTAGGCACGCCCGCCAGGCGCGGCTGTGTTCCGACTGCCTACCCGCCCGGCGCCTGGCCGTCCCCGGTCTCCGCTGGGCCCCGCCGCGCCGGTGGTGTCGGCCCAGGGGGACGGTGTTGGGGTCAGGGCCCGACCTGGGCCCCGCCTACAGGCCCGCCCCCC